ATATGGTAAAAAATTGTTTAATTTATACAGCTTCTATTCTCTTTTTAACATAAATAGATTTCTAAAATTATTCTAAGGAAAAAAGTAAATACGCAACTGTTGCACGTTTTTTTCTTAAGTTCTCTACTGATAAGGCAAACCAACGTGTTGAATCGAACTTATTGGAGAAAATATTTACAGAGCAAATAAGTTAACATTTTTGTAATAAGAGCGTATGTTTGTTAACAGAACTATTTTTTCTGTAAAATTTTTTAATATCCTTGAAATTTATATATTCCAAAAATTAAGATAACGATTAAATATTAAAACAAAAATGAAGAGAAAAGGCTGCGAAACTTGGCTTACCACGAACAATCTGATCCATAAACTGCAAACCTTTATAAATAAATGCCTTAGGAGAATTCTAAAAATTTGATGGCCCCGCACTATTAGAAATTCCGAAGTATGGTCAAGATACCGCAGACTTCCTATAGCAAACGAAATCAAAAAGCGTAAATGGCAATGGATCAGCCTTTCTCAAGGAAGCAGAAGACCTGGTAGGTCCAAGCAAACGTGGAAGCGAACACTAGAGAAAGAAATCCAAGCAAGAAGAAAGACCTTTGAAGAAATTAAAACCCTGGCAAGAAATCGTGACAGTTGGAAAAAGTTGGTTATGACTCAATGTTCCCCTGGGAACGTACTGGAATGAATGAATGAATAAAAGAGAAAAAATAATAAAAAGAAATATTTATTTTTGATATTGCAAAAAAAATGTATAAAAGTGAAAACTATTAAAAAAATAAAATAATATATATACATATGTAATTTATTAATTCTGATTCTCGTATATGTTTACAACATAATAATATTGGGTTCAATATATGTTTTAAATAATAATTTCGCAGTTACTTCTTCAATTATATCATTTTATGTAAATAAAACACACTTTTTAAAAAGATTTGAATCAAATTTTTAATTTACTGCAATGTTTGAACCTAAGGTGTGATCTATTGCAAAATACATATGTCCTGCACATGTGACATTTGACAGTACTGAATCTTTTTAATTGACAGATATTCGTTTTCAAAGCTTCTCGAGAAACTTCTCGAGCGACGAAGCGAAATCAGATCATATTAATTGCCTTGTAATATCATCCTGGTGAAACTATATATCTTCCAAATCCATATGATCAATTTCATGTCAAGAAAATAATTGACAACTCATATGGATGTTATGACCAGTATATACGATTTATGTTACATCTTCATCATTATATAAAAAGGTGCAGGGCTATCACACATTCGAACCAAATGTCACAACATACACTGGAATTTTTCTCAAAAACAATGATCTTTCGACATCCACTTGTGAATTTTCACTGCTATATCCACAAAATGAATAATGAGCCTCAGCACTAAGGAGTATCTGCTATAGTAGATAACAAGTTCATAGTGTACGCTAAACTTTTATCAACCATTCATACTGTAAAATAGTAGTAAGATGTTTTTGATAATAGTTTTGTTTGATGTATGTTAAACTGAAATGTGTCAATATGTCACTAAAAGAGTACAGTCGCATCAGGATAAGAAAATGGATAACCCTTTATTTGTATATAACAACATTTCAGCAACGTATGTAGGTTAATCTTGTTAGCTGCGACTTCACATAGATTTAATATAACTGTAACGATACCAGATCATTGTCAGAGATATAGTAGTTAATAAAGATATGAATCAGTGAAGATATATGCTTTTTAGCGAATTTACAAAATAGTTGACTTCATTGGCATTTAGCACATCAAACGAAGTTTAACTATTTTTTCCAGAAAATAAATAAAAAAATATATATATGGTCCCCAAAATATATATGGTGGTTCGCATGTGAACGTTAACATGATCCAATTGACTTCAAAAGTGCAAAGGCGAAAGAGTTTTAGTCGTTAGTGTACACTGTTAGCATATTTTCGAATGGTACTACCCAATCAGATTCTATTGGTACTGCTTTTATAATTAAAATATAATTAATGTCTTTTATTATTTTATTTTTTATAGAAAAATAGATCTAACGGAATTTGAACTGAATTTGAATCAATTCTATACAGTTTTTATTCCTATTCATTGTCTTTAGAAGTAGAATTGAGTAGAGTTTTATATTATGTTAAGATATAGCATCGAAAAGAAATCTTGCTTTAGCAGCAATGAAAAATAAAGACTTATGTAAATTGGAATTGGGTCTGAATGAAGTATTATATTACAATTAACTTTGTATTTGTAGGTATATGTATTGTTCACACAAACTAAAGCCGTTCAAACTAATCGTGAATTATCAAAAAATGTTGCTTTTCATGTTCATTCGTTTATTACTAGCCCTTACTAGCGTATCGCCCTAATAACTGAATACTGAATACAGTAGAATAAAATTATAAGACATAAGTTATATTTTAAATAAAAAATTAAAGTTTCTTGGAGAAGCTTTAACAATTCAGTTAAATTAAATCATATTCGCATAAGAATAATTAATAAGGTATTTTTTAAATATCTCTAATAAAACTATTCACGAAATAGACAATAAAACTCAAATGGAATTTTAGTGAATCCTTCAATTCAACTGATATCTCCATTATACAAATTATATTGATATACATTAAAAATTCTTAAATTAATATTATAAATTTTGTATATTAAACTAAATTGAAACTAACTCATATAAACTTCGCTGATGAAATAAAGAAACGCCACAGTAGTTTAACAGTAACATAAAATAAAACAATAAAATAACTTTTCATTTTTAATTATTTAGTTTTAATATAATATGCATATGTATAGCAAATATATGTAATGATATATAATATTTTAGTAAAATATTTATGTCAAGTGCTTTGCGAATATTTAAGTTTGCAACATTTGCAGAAGTGCTGTTAACTTAACAGTTGAGCTTTTGCATGCTGTTGCTAACAGACTCGTGTTTAGTGCATACTTATGCAGACTTTTTAACATTCCCTCCTAAAAAGCTCATTTATGTTAGTTAGAGATGTTTATTCATACTTCAGTTTCTTTTTTTTTTCAATTTGCCTTCAACGATTGTTAACTGTTGTAGTTCAAAGTTTGCGTTTCAAGAAAAATGTGCAACAACTTGTTCTGTAGATACGCTTAACTGTTGAACACACTCGTACACGGAGGTTGAATGAAGTACCACATTCATTCACGACGTGTGTTAACTTAATTTGGTTTGAGCTTTTTATTACATCTCATACAAATACACATCTACAAATATCTACTGTGTACATTAGCACAAGTAGACATGTTGGCAACAGCTGTTGCATCTTCATTATTTATATTCTGTATTTGCTTTATTTGAATCTGGAAGGAGAATTTAATGTACGCTTGGCAATGACGAGATAATAGTGCCTTCAGTTTTAGTGCTTTCAGTTTTATTTGATTTTATGTCTTAATAATGACCTCACATTATAAATAAAATAATGACAGTAATAAGGTGAAAATTGATAATTATAAGAATATTAAGAAGCAAAAATTAATGATTAACTCTTTCAAGAACAGAATAATAACAAAAAAAGGTTGCCCTAATACAAAACACAGGGTAAGGACAAAGAGTAATCAACGCTATCGGAGGGTATTTGGCTTACGGCTTCTACACCGAATACAATTCATACATGACTAAATGTCACATCTAGTACGCCGTGATCCTACTTAAGCTAAACTTTGTGGATTTAGAGATGAAAACCCGCAATCTTTGGAGTTGAATGCAATATGCCGATAAATGAATAACACTAAATAAGTGTAAATTAGAACGTTGAACTATTGATATCTAGTATCATAAACGAAGACTAAACTTTATAAAATAATTGTTTTCTTTTTTACATTCTTTAACATTTAATCTTCATTATTTATTTTATATTTTATAATACTTCTATTTCTGCTAATATTGACTACATTATCTATTGAATACAATATCTCAAGTACTTGAAATGATATAATTAACACGTCTTATTTGTTTCATCAAGAATATTTGACTGGCTTTTTATTATTATATTATATTATTATATGTTCATATTTATTATTTGAATTTTAAAGTTATGTGAAAAGCAGCACTCATTTGTATAAAGTGGGAACTCGGTTCCTTAGCGTCTTCACGCAGCATCTTTATCACTATCAGACAGGCAGTAAAATATAAAGTAAAATATGATGTTTCAACCTTTTTTTTCCCTCACATGGTATATGCATATGCTACCTACACAAGATGAAAGACTGAAGTAAGAACAATTGGATTCCACAGAACTGCTTCGAGAATCATACAGTTAGCTCCAGATGAGATAAAAAGTATTCAACAAGCAATATAACCTCAATCTATCTTTTCCAATATCAGATTACTATACTATGTGGTACTATATCAGATTACTATACTATATAGATATGACTATAAATGTTAGTTAGTAGAATTAACTCTAAATTTAATAAATTCCAATTTATGTATCCCATCTATGAAATGGTCATACGGAATTTAATAAAAATCGTATTCCATTAAAAAACGTTTTGAGATGTCAAAACAGCCAAAAGTCAGAACATAACTCGCAACATACTTAAATAAAATTAATCGATTAGTTTCGCATTGATAGTAGGTGTATTCCATATTATTCGGTTTTGGTTTTAGTCTGCAAAACGCCCTGTACAGAAAAATTCATGAAGTTTCCATGAAATGAAGTGATGGACATGTGCTTCATTGTCGACATGTGCATATTTT